CGAATCATTATGGATCTAGGTCATCTTGCATTTCTACCTTACGAAGGTGTGGAATGGAGAGAAATGCTGTGGTTCGTGTGTCATACGTGCCAGGTCGCTGGAGCCTGGACTGGCTCAGCAGTCTGGACGGTCTGTTCAGGACCGCCCCAAAGGCCAGTTCCAGTGAATGAGTCTCCTCACCAGCAACCTGATATTCGGGTCAGATGTAGCTTAGGAGAGAAGTTTCAGTAATCAGAACCTTGTGGGTGGGAAAATGTTCCCTGTGGGTTCTGATCACAGATCTTGTGAGTGTTAACGCAGGTGGGGTACAGGTAAACAGCCTCTTCCAATGGGGAATACATGGAGATGTCCAGCAGATAACGCACTGCCATGCTTTCTTCAACAGTATATTTAGTAGGAAATTCTGAAAAGCGCACTGGGACCTAATGCATTTTATTTACACTTGTATATACCAGGGATTCATGCCAGTGGAACATGGATTAAAAAAATCCACAGAGAAGTCCAAAGTTAATTTTAGTTATTGCTTCAATGTCCAAACCTCAGGCTAACTCTTACACAGCTTGATCAGGTTGGGTGTGAAGAATTTCAGAGTGGTGAAGGCTGTTAAACACTGAAGTGAATAAGAGAAGCAATAATAATTCCCTCCTGGAGAATAGAGAGCTGTACCTTACTGAATGGTCTAAGTAGTGTCATTTGATGGAGTTTGGACAATGTCTTATGACAGTTCTTTTGAGAATTGGGATTCTGTAAGTTCTACCAAAGCATCATCAATCTGTGCTTCTCTGACTTTTTTCCTTTCTTTATACATCTATTGTGGAGAAAATAAGCCCAACGTTGAAAAGCAAAGAGACAAATCAGAACTAGACAAGCAGTCATGCAGTGAATAACAGTGCAGCCCTGCATGGGGGCTACCCGGGTTTTCAGCCTAACTTTGCCACTGATGAGCTTCATAACTAGGCAAATTATTTCTCCTCTGTGTGCGTTAGTTTTCTAATAGGTAAGAAGGAGAACATCACAATAAATACCATATAGAATTGTTGTGAGGTTTAAATGAGTTAATCTATAGAGATCAGTGCCCAGTGCATAATAAACAATTAACATTAGTTATGATTATTGCTTTCACATGTGATGTACGTAATCATAGAGTATCTTCCATCAGAGTGCAAACCATATTTCTGGAATGATCATGTGTACTTCACAGGTAGCCAAATGACAGAAAGAGGGTATGGGGAGCTCTGCCAAGCTCATGCTGTGAGTTAGATCCCTTAACTGCTTCCAATTCTTGAGACTTATCCAAGATAAATTATATTTGCCTCTCATGTTATAATGAAGATCAAGATTTGGACTAATATTTTTATGCATTAACGAGGTACAAGGGCAATTTGAGCAGCACACAAAATCTCTCTACCAGACACTTTTGTGAAAGAACAGAAAGAACTTTGGCATCAAGAGGAAACAAGGGGAAAAACTACCAGTTTCTTTCTTAAGCATCTTCTTTGCCTAGTGAGAGATTTGGTTTCTTAGCCTAGTTTATTAAAATATAAAATAGCCAATATTTCAAAAACACTTTTAACTGATGACTCTACTGTCTTGAGTCTAGAATTAAACATGTAACAATAATTCTTTTCTGGAAAATAATAAATCTGTACTTGACTGAATGGTCTACAGGTAGTGCTTTTTGTACCATCTTTGCTTCTAACTTCTGAATGCTAACAGGCAAGCCCTTGGCCTCTGTAGGCCACAATTTTCTTATCTGTAAAACAGACAGGGGTACCTAACTTCTCATTCTCCAAGGTTGATGTGAGATGGGAACAGCTAACATATTCATAGCACAGCAAACACGATGGAAACACGTAAAGATCTATCTACCTATCTACATCTATCTATATCTATACATATGTAATACTACTGACATCAAATCATACTACTGTGTTATTTTATTCTACTAGAAAAAAACTAAGTTATTTATTTTCTTTTTATGAAACAACACAGTGAACTCATAGTAAATAGACATCTTTAATGTTCATCTCTTCTTCCTTATCACCTTCAGCTTTGCCCACGCACAGACCCTTTCCCCTGCCCCAACACTAAAGTGACCAAATCGCAACCAGAGAGGCTGAGAAAAAAATTCGAGGTAATGGAGACTTCATGTACATTTCTTCCCCTTGTGGTGATTCCTAGTTCTTCTCCATGGAGACAGTTGGGGTCTTTCCTTGCTTTTTACATCCAGAGGATACAGGGACAGAATTCGTGGGAGAGAAGGCAGAGAAGCGTTTCTTCTTTCATCGTAAAATGTTCCTTGTAAAAAACATGATATATATGCATACATATATATATATATATATAAAATATATCCAGTGCAATTGCAATTGTTCTGCCAAATACTGAGAAGTGCCACCTTGGGTGATGTATTTCTGGAGTTTTAAACAGTTGTCTAACAACAGCTGCATTTTAGTAAGACTTGGGCAGGTGGTTCCAGATAAGCCACTTGCCACTCACATTCAGGCTGAGGCTTCCATGTTCACAGTCCAAAGGAAAAAAATGTATCTTTGCGTCTGGAGTGGGCATTGTAGGGAAGGGATGGGCAGGAAGGGATCTGGAGGCTGAGAGGTGAGGAAGAAGGAATTGACTTCTCTTTACCACAGTCTTAAATGCAAGTACACATACAATTTAAAATCTGACAGTAGTAGTGCTATAATCACACTACCTAACCAAATAATTCACATCAGCATAAAAAATATTCACACCAAAAAGTTTCATTTTCTTTCCCCCTTTCCAAGAAAGCTTATGATATCATATCACCTGACTCAGCAATCTCACCACAGATATTTCCAGTGATTCGGCCAAAAGTCATTAAACATAACTTGGAGTCTTTGGATTTGCTCTTTCAGCAGCAGGACTTATTTTTAGATGAATTTCTGTAATTGTGGTTTTTGGTTTTCCCAATACACTGAGAAGTCTGAAGTCTCTGCCTTCCCCCATGTCCTCATCCACGGAGTGAGAGGCACAGATGCTGAGCCTCCAAGTCTGGTCAGAAGGGAAGGGGAAGGGGAAACCCTGGGTCAGCAGATCAGCTCAGGAGGGATGCACCACAGAGGGAATAACGACGAGCTGCAAACCAAGATCAGAAGCTGTTACAAACCCACTCCATTTCAGCTCTGAGTGCCATCAATTGCACTATGCAGAGACCTACAGGGAAGAAGGTGGGCGGTCTAAAACCAGTACACATCCTTGCTTTTGTCCTGAGGCTGCAAACCTGAAAACAGAGAGAAGATAGAGAGAGGAGGTGGAGAGGGAGGGAAGGAGAGGGAGAGAGAGAGAGAGGGAGAGAGAGAGAGAGAAAGAGAGAGAGAGGAAGAAGAAGGAGGAGGAGGAGGGAAGAAGAAGAAGAAGAGGAGGAGGAGGAGGAGGAGAAGGAAGAGAAAGGGAGGGAGAAAGAAGGAATGGGGGAGGGAAGGCACAAGATATTTAAGGAAAGAAAGACAAAACACCACTGTTTTACTGTGAAAGTCACAGACTTCACCTAAAGTTGGGGGCGGGGCGGGGGTGGGTGACTGAAAGTAAAAGCAAAGCAAACAGAAAAGTCAAATCACTTGAGGAAAGGGGCAGTGGGCAGACTATAAACCCAGCGATCTCACTTATTATATAACTATTTCTTTCATTTGCCCTAAAAATAAGAAAAGACAGCAAAAAAGCAAACCCTTATTAGACTGTACGTTTCAAATACTTTAAGCCAAAGACTTAGGATTGTCATTTAAAAATATTCTTTAAGATTTACATTTTTAAGAGATCTATTTTATTTGGCAATTAACTTGATATCAGTATCGCATTTTTCTTTCCTTACAACTGTCACTACGTGACAAGATCCCCCAAGACACAGAAGATTTTAAATTGTACTCTCAGCAGCTATTCTAGATCAGCGCTGTCCAATAGAAATACAACGGGAGCCATAAGCATAATTCTAAATATTCTAGTAGCCACAATTGGAAAAAAAGTAAAAAGAGATGAAAATTAATTTTTATAATCGATATGCAATGTGTCGAAAATATTTCAACATGTAATCAATATAAAAGTATTAACGAGAAATCCAGTGTGTATCATACACTGACAGCACATCTTAATTCGGCCTCACCACGTGCCAAGTGCTCAGTAGCCCCATGTGGCTAGCGGCTACAGTATTGAACAGCGCAGAGCTAGAACTTTTCCACTAAATTTTATTATTATTATTATTATTATTATTATTATTATTATTTTAAAAGTACTCTGTAACATTTACCAGCCAGGTTAGGGTAGGGTCCTACTACACGCATGGCACACAGCCATCTATCAGTGGAAACACGACCATGGCATGTAGATCCTTGAGTCACAGAATTAAAGGTGTCCAAGGAGGATTAAGGGGGTCTAGGTACAGCCCAGGGTCGGGTACGGGGCCGAGGGGCTCCGCGGAGACCAAACTTCTTCCTCTGCTTACCTGAGTCCACGCTGAGGCCCAGACCCTGGGCCACGTCTCCCGAGGAGCTCGAGAAGGGCCCCCCAGGCCCGGCCCACGCGGCGCCCGCCGGCTCGCCCTTGCCGGAGAGCTCGCAGGGAGGACTACCGGGCGCGGGCGCTGGGGCGGGTGCCAGGCGGGCTGGGCGCCCCGAGGCGGCTGGCATCAGTAGCGGCCCATAGCGCGGGTCGAAGTGCGGCGCGTAGACTTCGTGCACCGCGGCGGGGCGCGGGTAGGGGGCGGCCTGGGCGCCGAGGGCGCCGCCCAGGGCGTAGGGGTGATGCGGGTGCGCGTGGTGCGGGTGCGCGTGGTGCCAGGGCTCGGTGGCGCCCTGGTGCAGGTGGCCATGCAGCGCGGCGGGCGAGTAGGGGTCGGCGGCGGCGAAGGGCAGCTCTGAGTGCGCGGTGGCCAGAGGGCTACCCAGCGGCGCGGGCACCGGCGCCTGGTACGCGCTGTTCCAGAAGGAGGCAGGGAAGCTGCGCTGGCTCATCGGGAAGGAGCAGTCTGTAGGCCGGGAAGGCGGATTGGAGGAAAGGAAGAGAGGTGCGTGTCACTGCGGCTGGAATCAGGGCCGACCTGCACGCCCCGCCCGAGAGCCGAAGGCGCCAGGCGGGCACAGGGCTAGCTAGCCATGGTCGGGGGCGGATGGGCCGCCCCCGCCTCTGCAGCGGCATTTTTCTAAGGGGGCTGCAGCCTGTGAAAGCGAGATGGGGGAACTGCAAAATGGGGGCTTCTGGGAACCCTCTGAGGAGGAGACCTACTTTCTCCCATTTCGCAGCCTGGTTCTCAGTGCGGAAACCAAGTGGCGGGGAGAGTAGTAACAGAGGAGAGACTTCTTCCCCGACTCAAGTCCTTGAAGCTCAAGGAGCTTCCCGAGACTCAGCGCAGACACGGTCTCCCTTTCCCAGCCTTAACGTCTCCTCAAGCTAAAGAGACCTCTTCCCACTCTTGGTCGGCCGCGTAGTGATCTCACTACCCCCTCTCGCGTTTCAGCCGTCTTGCTCCGGAAAATGTGCCCCCCCACAACGTCTCTCACAGACTCAAAGTCCATCGACATATTTTGAAGTCCTGCTATTATTAGTTTTCTTTCTAGAAACCTTCTTTCAAATATTTTTCTCCAAGAACTCAAGCAAAAGAGTAAACTAGTCACCTTAAAGGGCAGCTCTATTATTTGCACAGAAGGACACGAATAGACAGGTCTTTTATCCTAAGTTTTCATTAACTTTCTGCATCAAAGCAAGGACGCCAGGGATAATAATAATCATTATTACTATTGTCAGTTTCACTGTTGGTTCCTAGCCCGTGATAGCATTTTAAGAGAACAGCATTTAGATCAAATTTGTTGCCATTAGTAAGAAGGGAGAGAAAGACAGATATGTAATTCATGGAGCCTTTATGGAACACCTCCTCTGTAGAAGGCATCTGCACTATATACTAGAGAATTTAAATGATTTGAAAATGCATTCTAAGTGGTGAAGAATCTTCCTGTTAAACATATTTAGACAGAGAATAAAAAGAATGTTCTGTATTTAAAATGAACGTTTTTTGGATCTTGTCTAAGGGCAAGGCTTATGCAAACTGCCAGAGTCTCCTAAGGAAAAAAAAAAAAGGGGTGAAGGTTGTCATTTCCCTCCCAAAGACAAATGAAAATGTTTTGGTTTTTACAACAAAGTCCTCCTTTCTCCCCTTGGTACACATCAAATACCGCTTAGTGAGCCAAGTTTACTTAATGGTTCCCCCACTTTGTCTTGTTGGTAATAAAGGGAAGTTGAGATTTCAGAATAGAAGGGAGATTTAGTTGAGTTGTCCAACAGATAATTGTCCTAGGGTAGAAAAAGCAGTGTTTTGTGGGGGAAGGTAGAAAAATAAAAAGGGGATGTGTTTTGGGAAAACTCTTAGAAGTGTTTTGGCTGTATCTAAATTTTTGTTTCTTTGTTATTTTACTTGCTATTGAGACGCTTCTGCTTCAAGAGTTCTCAAGTCATTGGAGCCTGGTGAAAGGCAAAGGTAGGTTTTTGGAGACATTCTCAAGGAGGTTTTGTCTGTATGGAGCTCTAGAACTGTTTCCTCTGGGAAAATGTTTGCAAATTGGGAAAGTGTTCTGGGCGATGAAGCTCCTTTGCTCACTGGTTTGGGAGGGTGCTGGAAACCTCACATTTTTGACAGCATATTTACATCCATTTTCTTGTTGGTCTTACAGCCTTCTCTGGGGATCGTTAGGAGGGTAAGTGTTATTCTAATTTAAGAAAGCAGTAAATAAAGTGACCTCAAAGAGGTTAAAAGACTTGTCCAAGGTTATATTGCTAGGAAGTGGTGGAACCAACACACAAACCTAGGTCTTCCAATTCCAAGCATAGTGTTTTTTTCAAGGAGTTTTTTTTCTTATACCCATGCCCTTTACCCCTGCGTTTTCCTTACCCTTTCCAAATGCTCCTCTGCACACCTTCTCTGACACCTAATATTCTTTCAGCTGCATATCTTTAGGCTCCTGTAGGTGAACCCCAGGCTGAAAGAACCCTCTATGGGTCGTTCCCAGCAGGGCCCCATACTCACCTCGCCAGGGCCCAGAGCTCCTTGGTGTTTTGCTGCTGGTACAGCTGGGAGAGTAGCTGCTGGGTTGACTCAGGGCCCTGCTGAAATGTTCATCAACCACGGAGCTGATGTCCCCCTGGAAATAAGTGAAGAGGACGCAGCGGGAGTTGATGTACTCTGCCTCTGGTGGGCGCTCTTTCTCTGGGCTGCCTTCTTCCTCTTTTATACTGGCTGGGGTTTGGCTGGAAAATGAGGAGCTGCCGCTGCCACTGCTGCTGGGGCTGGCATTGCACTCCTGGGCTTCCTGCATTTTGGAGTAATAGGCTAGTTTCTGTTCAGAGAGAGAATAAACAGAGATGTCAGTTTCAAAAGCGATGGCAAATTCAGTTCAGACTAACTCCCTCAACCTAATCCCTAAGGTATTCATGGGGAAACTGGCATATGGGCCTAAGCCTTGTGCTGTTCGTATAAAACTAACAATAGTGGGGCAACTTAGTTAGCAGGCCTCCCAACCTGCACCCAAGCAAGGGCGAGCTTCCTTAAAGGAAGATTGCTGTCCTTGGTCCCTCTGACTCCTGGAAAATTTCTCCTAAAATGTCTGGGTGAAGGTCTCAGGAGACGCCTAAGCAGATAGGTTTGGAGCTGAGTTTGACCTCATAGCTGGGCTCAGGGCAGATATATTTTTAAAATCAGACTCCAAGGGTAAAGGGCACCCAAGTCCAGTTAGAACCTGACTGTTCCGTGCCTGAGAATCCAGGGCAGAAGCACAGGATACAGGATAAACATCCTCCTGAGGAAATAGGAGCGGGGGCAACCCCCTACCCCGACAAAATCCACTCCCTGCAACTGCGGATGTGTGAAGGAAGGCAACCAGAAATATAAAGGAAGAAATTTTACATTTAGTAATGAATTGTGTGGGGTAAAAATCTGGGGTAACATGACTGGGGAAATACGGGTCATTTTAATAAATGCAAGTTGATATTTGTTTGATGACCCCTACATCAGTTTTTAAACAGATCTTCTCTTTAATAAGGAAAGACCAGTGGATTATGAGTATTTCCACCCCATCATCTCCATACACATTGAGGAAATGATAAAAAGGAGCAGACAGAAGAAAGTTAAGATCCTGGCTGTGAGGTGGTGTAAATCGTCAGGTCTGATAGTGATTTTAAAAAGCAAGCGCAGCTTCTGTGAACATTTTCTTAGAAATGAGCAACGGACTGAAAGAAGTGTTAAAACATTCTGCAGGCAGAGATGGCCTTGAAGAGGCGGCCCGAATCATACAAAAATGAACAGAGATCTTCATGCAATAGATTGGTTCAGGGTCTGGGAGGAGAAAGGGCCAGTCAGAAAACCAATCCACCTCTCTCCTCTTGGCTTGCCATAGTCCCACCCTGGGAAGAAGTACATTTCAGAAGCTGGAGCCAAAACGTTTGCGTTATTTGGGGCCAAAACGATGTAAGATTTAGCAATATCACCACTTCCTAAATGCTATCTTCCCCTACAATGAGTAACTCTGGTGATTCCTAAAATTAACACGGAGGCAAAACAAACTGCAAGTTGTGAAGTTTAAAAGAGGAGAAGAGGAGGTAAAAAAAAAAAAAAAAAAAAAAAAAAGCCCTACCCGGTCCGTCATTAATTCATCGGGAAATTTCCGAATAGACATTCTAAATTTGCAGACAAAATTAGCAAAAGCATCCACTGGGGCATTGGGGTGTATTTCAATTTCCCCAAAGTAGGTTTCCAACCCTGAGGGGACCCCCTACTGCCTCCCAGGTGTATGATTTCATTCTTTTCCTGCACTACTGTCCTCAGTTTCTGCTACCTCAGCTGAGGAAATGGAAGGAAAATGGTTCAAACAGACGCTGCCTGAAGAAAAGAGAAATTGGCAGAATTAAATGGAACTTGAAGAGTTTGCAGAAGCCGGGTTGAGTGGTCTTCTTAAAGTGTTAGTTGGGAGCAGGACTTCCCCATTCAGCTACTCAGGCTGGACAAAGGCAAAGTATTGTCTATCAAGCTCGCCTCTGCTGGGTTAATCGCACTCCGGAAAATACTCCCAGAACTTCGCAAAGGAAAAATTATAAAACTGCGTGGTGCTCTTTCAAACGAATTCGCTGGATCTGGAATTAATTGCCCTGGTCGCCAGAGAATTGAAACGGAAGAAATTATTCCTGAGACGAACTTGCAAGGATGAGAACACTGGCCCTTGCATCTCAGAAAGAGGCTGACCTTTGCTTTTGGTTTTGTTGTTACTTTCACCATTGGGACCAAAGTTTGGTTTTCCTTGCGTCGGCTTTGCCTGCATTTCCTGGTACCTGCACCTGGCTTGGAAGAATCTGGAGTCCGGCAGACCCTAAGAAGAAAATCCAGCCTGTGCCATCTTCCTCTGATTATTCCAGGGAAGACCTAGGCTCACATTAGCAGGGCTTAGCTGCTTCCCGAGAGCAAACAGGCGAGCTAAAGGGGTTAGCTAATTGCACTACCAACTGGGGGCGGCTCCGGCAATCCCCGCATCCCGGCCGCGCCCGCCCTGGTCGGACGCCCGAGACGCGCGGAGGCGCAGCGGACCTTCCCGTATAGGCCGTGCCGCCGCAAGCCAGGGGCGCGCCACTCTTCCCCAAAATCCCCGGAGGAGACACGTACCTGGTGGTAGGGGGTGTAGGCGGCTGCGAAGTAGGGCTGCGGAGGACCATAGACTTGGTACATAACATCCAGACAGCTCATGACTCTCCGCAGCGGAGAAGGTTAAGTGTTTTTTCATTAACTCTCCTTCCCCGGAGCTCAGGGGTGCTGCATGGGCGGTGCTTGGACCCGAGCTCCGGAGTCATCAGGCGGAGCGAGGTCAGCGCGCTCCGCGGCTCGAAACCCGCTGGCTCACTCCCCTCCCACTACAGCGATTTTACTACAGACCGCGCTCCAGGGCAGAAGCGCCTGAGCTCCCGCTAGTGGGCATTTAAAGCCCACGCCCGGCGGGCGTGCTGACGCCACTCGGGGGCTGCGGAGCGGGAGGGGGTGGTGGGGGGCGGGGACCGGGGGGCCAATGGGTAGCCAGGGACGCCTGTTGGCGGGGCAGCCGGTGTGTTTCCCGGGGCCTCCCTCCGACAAGCATGAGGCCAAGGGTGCAGGAGACTATGCGGTTCTCAGCGGATCCGAGGCTTCGCACCTCGAGTAGGAATCTCCCAGGACAAAATAGGAGACAGAGAGAAAGAGAGAGAGAGAAGGCGGCGGGGACGGAGGGATCCGGGCTCATACATGCAGAGAAAGAAAGTTGGAGAAAGGTCTCTTAGGAGAGCCTTTGTCTCATACTGTAGAGTTGAGTGGGCGCTTCCAGAAGTGCCCAGGTAGGGCAAGTTCTCTGCTTTCGGTTCCTGATGATTTGTGGGGAGGACGGTGCTGTCCCTTGGAATCCCCTAGGGAGTCCGGGTCGTTGCAGACAGGATGTGGGAGTCCGGGTACTTCTCCAGGGCATGAAGCAGCTCCCTCTGCGGGGAAATGGCAGTGACTGAAACCTGTAACCGCTGTCCTCTAATCCACTTCCTTTCGCTCCCTCTAACCTGGTCCTCCCGCCGCCTGTCCCACAGCCCAATTCTGCTCTCTTGGGCCATGCCCTTCAGTCCCTCTAAAGTTCGATCCTGCTCCTTTCTCTTTGATGTTCTTCACCCGAACCCGTTAGCTTCGCATAGATCTCTCCCCGCCTCCGGCTGCTCCAGGTGTGAGCTGCTTTCGAGGAGTCCAGGAGGCTTTACCCGGCCCCGGACGCCTGGCTTTCCATGCTGGGGACTCCTTGGCCGGCGTCCTTTAAAGTTTTGGCAACTTTGGGGACAAGGACTCGTTGGCGCTAAGCAGCAGCACGCTAGGACCCGCACAGAGAGAGGTCTTTTGCTGCCTATTCAGCCAGTAACACCAGCTGCGATGGTATGTTTCATTTTGGAGAGCTGGAAATATGTGCACTCCAACTATAAAACCTTCACCCCTTTGTCTCTCAGGCCCTCCCGGAGAGCTCTGCTGGCTTCGCCCTCCTTCCTGCGACTCTCCCCATCCTCCTCAAGCCTACCCCCCACCAAGCCCTCTGGAAAGGGGGGTGTAACAGTGGAGTCTTCAGTTCTATAAGTTTAGGAATGCATTGAGACAAGGCTATCTCCATGGCTGGGTCAGGCGGCGGAAGGGGCATTACGGGAATAGTGGCGGGCCAGGCTCAGGGGACCAAGGGAACAGGTTGGGAGCATTAAGAGTCTAGACTCAAGAAAAAGGCAGCATAGATTTCAAACCTTAGTTATTCCCCACCTTAAATACAACAGAAAGTCTTTACAGATTGTCAAGCTATAAGACTGTGAATAAATGAACCCTTGAAGATCTATTTGTGTTTTAAAAGTAAGCATTTTAAGCCAAATTGTTTTAGGGTTGCAGTTTTGGTTTTGCCCAATTTATAGATGGGAAATGACTCTGTGTCTCCAGCTGCTTGTAACTGGTGAGCCATCTTGAGAGATTCGACAATTTCATTAATTAACTACAATATAATCTATGTAAAGTTATGTAATCAATGAAAAGTTAAAATAAAGACACTCTTGTAGTGTAGACATTTCCATGCAAACCTCTTTTTAGGGGCCAAGCTGCCTCTTGGATGAACTCCGCCGGCTTCTTTAGCTTCTGATTATCCAGGCGCAAGGGTGAAGCAGAACATCCATCCCACCTCCACCCCAATGCGCCCTCCCTAGGAGTTTCTGAAGATAGGTACAACCGCCTATGAGCATTTTCTTTGGGGCAAGAGGGGAAACCCTTATCCGAAGAGCCACGGTGCTCTCTTCTGTGTGCGGGAGATGGGGACTTCAGGTCCCAGTCTCGCTGGCCACTGCTGCGCACCCTTTCTGCTGGGTCGGCTCCACCCAGGCCCGCAGGAGTACAGGTGCCAACGCAACCATCGCGCCAGGGACGCCGCGCGGCGGGTGGGTGAGGCCCCGGGGGTTCCCTTACCCCACTTTCGCGCAAGTCCCGCAGTACCTCCTTGGACCTAGAGGTTCCGCTTTGGGCATCTCTGGGCGTGAGCATCCGTCGCTGAAGCCCGCTCCTTTTCGAGCAGCCTGGGCTTGGCAGTGTTGTGCCGGGGGAGAATGGGGGTTGGTGGGCCGAAAGCGGCCGGAGGCAAGCTCCACTAGCATGTCCAGCCAATGTATGGAAACCTTGCTCTTGTCCTCGCTCACCTTCCAGTAGCTACCTCCTATTCCCTGTACCCGGTCACTTTGACATTTTCAAATTTTACTATGGCTATAGTACTGGAAGACTTTCACCTTTTTTTTTTTTTTTCCAATTTCCAGAGAAAATCACAACAATCTCTCCAAGTCCAACAAGGTCCAGCAGAAAGTTATTTTCGAAAAGGATTACAGGAAGAAAGATTTTGCATATTTTAGACGAACAAATTGAAGAGAATGTTATTCTAGTTGCCTAAGGCTGCTTTATATTCACATTGCTCAATCTCCTCTTATTTGAAACAATTTTAAAAATCTCACTGAAACTAAGCGAGGGTATGGACTGCACAGGAGTTGGAAGGAACACAAGGAATTGGGTCGGTGAGCATCAATCTAGAATTTAGGAAGGAAACCATTTTATTCCCCCTAAATCCACAGTGAAGGAAGAAAAACAAACATCCCAGAGTTTTAAAACACGTTCCAAAGATTGGAGAATGTTTTGTCTTTTCTCTATGTCTGAAAAGTTGTCATTTACAGGAGGGTGGTACTTCTCAATCGCCTGAGATTGCCTCTTGTTTCTACCCTGAAGCAGAAAGTAAAACACAGCTAAATTTGATCCCCTTTACTCTCCCGGCCATTCAAACCACCAGCACATTAACAAGGTTGAAGAAGTTAGATTTTGATTCAGAGCCTTGGGAATGGGCTACAGGTTGAGAAAATTCTCTTTCCTTCCCACTGGAGTCCTCTTCCTCAAGAAGAGACTGAAAAAAAAAAAAACAGTGAGATGGCCCTGAATTTGGGCCCCAAGCCCCCAGAGAGACAAACTGTTCCCAATTGCGTGGAGTTGGCTTTTAACTCCTTAATTGGGCAGAGGGAGTATCAAAACTTCTCTTTGAAATGAATTTCACTTTATGATCGATTAATGGCAATTTATTGAACTGCTAGGAAGGAGCTGCATGCAAGTAAATTCCACCAAAATTTCTTTTTAATATCCTAGTTTTATTCTGCAAGTCTAACAGTATCTATACTGTGAAAATAAAGACACCTTTAGTCTTGAAGTTAATAAGTGAAATTAAATCACTTTAGCACTAGTAAATGTTTCAAGATAGAATCTCAATGAAATAATTGTTTTCTCTTCAGAAAGGTTTACCTGTCACTTTCATAAACTAGCTGATTTCATTATCTCTGAATCTATCTGTCATTTGTGTCATCTTATTCTGAAAACTGCAAAGACACTGCTTAGCAAGGATATATGAATAGAGCTGATTTGGAGAACTGACTTGCAGCCAGCCAGGGCCTTCCTTGCCAGTGGTTTATTTAAATCATGAGTTGGCATTTCATGCTACCTTATTCTGCCAACCAAAGGGGATAAACACAATGGTAACCTCAGAGATTTTCCCCCACAAACTCATTTTTTCATGTTTTACTGACAGGAGTTGTGTTTAGATTTGGGAGAGTAGCTGAGAAGATTTTGTGGATTCAAGCTATTAATAATATTAGTTAAAAACATTTCTGTAAAAGGTGGGGTTTTCAGGCATGATCTGTTACTTAGGAATAATACTCTAGTAATGGACTGCATGGTGATTTAATTTTAAAGAAAAAAAGGAGGAAATAGAGAAATCTACATATCCTGAAGCCTCACTAAAAAGTTAAGTGGGGAAGAATTACAATTTGACTTAGTGAAAAAAAATAAGTAAAAGATGGTTCAGTTATTTTCATACAACTTTAAGTAGGTCTTAACAGTGCTTCCAGGTAAAAATCTTCCATAGTCAGTTCAAACGAATAGATAAAGCTACTTTTATTGACATATAGATGATTATTAAAAGAATGTTGAACTTTTCCTTCTTTACATATTTAAAACCCTATTTTTATGTTATGTACATGTCAACTTTAGCTTTGGTGAAATAATTACAATCTTTTGAATTTAGTTTATCTTGTATTCACGTTAACATTTGTGCCCATTTCTAAGACTGGGGAATATGACTAAAACCATATTCATCTTTTAGAAATGAGTTCTTTTTAATGAGTCTTTATGAAATG